TGGTCGACCGTGTCAAAGGCTTTTTGCAAATCTACCATTATCATTCCAGTATAAAGTCCCTTAGCAGTTTCATTTTTAATATGATCTAACAAATGAATAAGACATGTATCTGTGGAATAAGCAGATCTGAAACCAGATTGTAAATTATAAAATAGATCATTTTCCACCAGATATTTCTCAAGTTGTGACTATACTGATCTTTCAACAATTTTAGAAACAACTACTAAAATACTAACTGGTCGATAATTTCCGACATCCAACCTACTATTTTTCTTATATATAGGACACACTATACCTGTTTTCATCTCATCAGGTACTATGCCTGAAGTTATCGACATTTAACTATGCCTGTTCCAAGTCAGGAATATGACAGTTGTTATCCATTCGTTCGATGTGTTTAAGCTTTTGATTTTGCCATTTGATTAGGGACTTATCTTTTTGAATTTTCCTCGGAGTTCAGTATTTTTGTGATTTTACTTTTTTATATATATGTAATTGGCTTTGCTAAAATACTCGAGTCATCTCTTAAAAACCTTGATGGTATTCCATCTAATCTAGTACTTTTACTTGGATTGAGTTGTTGTAACTGTTTAAAAATATATTCTTCAGTCACAGGTTTTAATTTAAAACTCAAATCGTTACACCCAACAGTGTTATAAAAAATTTAAATATGTCTGTTTTGATATCAAACACTTTTGGAACTGGTAGTAATTTTGATACTAAATAAATCAGCTATAGTTGTAAAAAAGTTATTAAAATAGTTAGCCACTGTATTTGAGTCATGACAGTTCTCATTATCTATATTAAGTACAACTTTACTTTTCTCCTTCTGTTTAGTACTGTAACCCATACTTTTAAACTGTTTCCAGATATTTCTAGGATTAATTTTATTTTTTTCTATTTTATTTTCAAAATATGAAGACTTAGCTTTGTTTACCTCCCTCTGGGTTTTATTTCTACATTTACAATAATCATTATAAAGAAGTTTATTATTTGTTTTATATACATATTCAAAAGCTGATCTCTTTTTTGAATTAGTTCAATAATTTCAGAAGTCATCCAAGGCTCTGTATGTTTTTTTTTTACCTTGATATCTCTTTTAGGAGCTACTTCATTTAAAATTGAAGTAAAAATATCTTTGAATTTTACCCAAGTTCCATTTACTTCTCTACATAAATATAATTCAGACCAATCAACATCATCATACTTATATCATTGCAAAATTTGAGTTATCTTTCTTAGTATAGATCTATGTAAATTTATATCTGTTTCCTTATTTGTTTTGTATACTTTTATCATCAGGTTATACTTAATGGTCAGGCCATCTGAACGCATAAAATCTCCAGAATATTACAATGTCGACTGGATAAACCACGAAACTTAACCAAAAGCATGGCAGGTAGTCTTCCACCTTACCCAACGTTTAATTGCGCCAGTGACAAGTCCAATGCAGGTCCCAGGTGGGCACGATGGGTCTCGAGACTGGACAATTCATCTCATCAGGTACTATGCCTGAAGTTATCGACATTTAACTATGCCTGTTCCAAGTCAGGAATATGACAGTTGTTATCCATTCGTTCGATGTGTTTAAGCTTTTGATTTTGCCATTTGATTAGGGACTTATCTTATTTGTGGGTCTGAAAATTGAAAAAAGATGATCGTAAACGCGCACGAACGTGCTGGCGAAAGTGTTTATGACATTTAGGAGCTACTGAGTCTTCGTATGTGGCAACAAAACGAGAACAACTTACTTCGAACCAAAGAAAAATACACAAATGGAGGTGTACAAATTCTGTTCATGTAAACAAAAAGAAGGCCTGTCACTTGATGGATTTGTAACCGACATAAGAAAATTGGCCAAAACATGTGAATTTACAAGTGTAGACAATGAAATCATTTGACAGGTAATTCAAAATTGCAAGTCTAACAGATTGCGCAGAAGAGCTCTAAGGGAGACTATTAAAACCTTAAACGACATTTTTAACACTTGGTAAGACTCTTGAAATGGCTGATTTACAAGCAACCACAATGGAGAGGGAATATGTAAATGAAGTAACATGTACAAAGAGAACAAATTCCAAAACATACTATAAAAACAGGAAAAGGGCAACAAACGTCACGCCCAAATTACCCCAGCCACTCAAGACGGATCAAATGTAGAAATTGTGGGGGCCAATTCCCCCATAGATTGATTGATTGATTGTTGGTTGCTTAACGTCCAGTGGCAAATATTTCATGCAAATTCAGGACGAGAACAAGTTCACAATAAATACAATAGGTAGGTTCTGTAATAGATTAAGGAATTATGGTCGGAGAAATTTAGACTGCCACGGGAAATGAGGGTATATTGGATAGGGACAGAAATTTAGCCTTGCAACAGGTCACCTACAGACCCCTCTAAGAGTTGTTGCAAGGGTTCTTAACGTGTAAAGAGCGTGGCACTCTCTTTACACGAGGCATCGGATTTAACGTCCCCATTCTGACCGGACGTGGCTGCAAATTTGTACATCCCGCACAGCCAAACGGACGCCCCACTTTAGCACGGGTTTAACTGCCGTCGGAGGAAGACCAATGGTGACCATACTTCTATTCCCCAGTCACCCTTGGGGGGTTCCCCCATAGAAATTTATAGTGTCCAGCACATGGTAAAACCTGCAATGCAGTCCACAAACAAAACCACTTGGACAAAGTTTAATTGTCGTTGAAAACAAAATAGATATAACCATAGATATAATAGCCATAGATAAAGTACTCAGAATATGTCCCACTAAGCCCCATGCAGTTTCCTTTGAAATGTCAAAAGCACGGCACTGCGCGTAGTGGCCTGTGATGTAGATGATATTTGCCGATATCCTCCCAATAGACTAATTACTTATCATAATTATATTTAAATTATCGGGCACTCGTCTTATCAGCCAATAATTAATGTGAGTTACCTGTCTCAAGTAAAAATATGCCAGGAGGCGGAAGCAATTAGAAGCGTCTGATTGTAAAAGTTGTTTCGATTGTAATTTATTTGGAGAAAATCGGTCAACAAATGAGAAGTTATGCTGTTGTCGAAATAATAAACTAGAGAAATCATGGAAAATGGACTAAACAGGTATATAAAATTAAATTGTCATAGCACTTGCATCGGTTGCACTCGGGAAATAAGACCTGTATGATTGACAAGAGGAGAAATATCGTTTACTGATTGTATGCGTGGTTAAGAGGTCGAACAGAGTCGATTTTTTCTATGGCGATTTAAAGAAAAAAGTTTTTATCGAGATTCAAAATAGTGAAATCCTATTTTTTGCCAGAGGGAAGAAAATTATTATTTTTTTTAGAAAAAAAAAATGTTTTTACAAGTGTTGAAACTTTCTGACGTTACGGTAACACGAAGTTTTTGAAAATTAAGAGAAAAAAAGGAATACATTAAAATGTCTGCACTGTGGATTATAAAAGCTTGGGCTAGTTGCTTAAATATACTTACATTAGAAATTTCCATGTCACTTGATTTTATTGAATGTAATTTGTTTAAATCTCAAATTAGTGATATTATTGTCATGTCAAAAATTTATTTTTACGGAGTTTCAGCTAAAAAATTACAGTGGAAGAGGGTATAAAACAGAAAATCGACTTAACATAAAAAAAATAATTTGCAAATATTTTATTTGTGTATATATAATATTGTTTTTAATATATCAGTAAAACATTTATCAACACCATCTTTTAATATATCTTCTTGTATATTTTGCCATGTAGTTCCTCTTATTCAAATCTTAACATCGCGTATTTCAATCTTTTAAACGTTGGTGAAGATAACGTATGTGGTGGACATACTGAAATACGTTAAATATATTCTGATTGTCGATTTCATTTTTGAAGTTAACAATATATATATTAAGCGTTATAATGGCTATGAGAAAATAAAAATATAGGAGTTTTGTCCTGTGTCATTCATGGTTTATTTTCCCTTCCTTCTTACAATTGTGCTAGAGGTATTATTCGTACCATAAATAAGCTATATATATATATCCCTCTGTAAGTCTGCCCGTTCAGTTATCAACGTACTTTTTGTGTACTTTATTTATATCACTTCTTTGGTTTGGTATGAACCCAGCTGTGTGTATTTTCGATTACAGTGATTGATTGCATGATCGTTGATTCACAACGTTCGGTGGCAAATATTTGATGCATATTCAGGACTAATAAGAACCATGTAAACATCGGTCATCTTTACTTGCATTTTAAGCACGTATATACGCATTTCAAACAAAATGCCAAGGAATTACACCTTGTATAATGAAAGGTATATACAAAATAAAACTGTATCAAATAACCTATTTTTAACAAAATAGTTTTACGCTCATATCGAGTAGTCTTGTATAAATACAAAGAGATAAGGTGCTAAGTGTCATTTGTACGTTTGTATCTCCTTCTTTTTTCTGTCTCGCATTGCTTTATAATAAGTTTCAACTTTCAGGAACTACCATGTAAATGATGTACCGGAAGATTACGATAACTACCGAAGAATGACATATTGGTCCAAATTACTCTCCAAGTTCACAATTTATTTGATATTAATCAACGGCAATTGCCAATAAAGGCTAATTAACACTTAGTGTGACATGTATATAATAAGAGGGTGATAAAATTTCGGCAAATATCATCTGCTTTTGATGTGGGTTCAGTACTGTATCTATGGCTATTATATCTATGATATAACGGTACAAGTAGACAAAACACAAAATATAGACACGTAAATGAAATTCAAATTCCAAATACTGAAATGGAGTCATATAAAGAAATACAGTTCTGATGAGCTGAGACAGTTTGTTCAGTGAAGAAATCACCCTATGCTACAATAAAAGTTATTTATATAATTATGATATAAGTACGTTCAAGGAAGACTGAAAGTGACAATTATATTATTTTGTATATTGAAATTAATGAAATGAGTACGATCCCAGAAGACCGATGTTGACAAAAATATTCTGTTCCCGGAAGTGACTAACAAATTATAGGCGTTATTTGTTATTAATATTTGCATTATTATTCATGTATCCACTGTCTGACTAAACACATGAAGTAGCTGTCTAGGACATTGCATGATAATAGTATATAATAGATCTACAAAAAAGATAAATATGAAAGATAATGGATTTGAGTGCACTATTCTCTTTAAAGAATTTATATGATACCGCCCTATTTATTCATTGTAGTGCAAAATGAGTTTTATATCGTGAAACACTCCTGTAGCGCATTTCTATCAAATAATAGTAAATTTAAGCTATGAATGTGTTGCATCGATAGACGATGAAAAACTTTATTCGGGACTTTACATTTAAATTCACACTTATTGTGGAAAATTGTAATCTTGAATTTCATCCGATTTAATTTGGGTAGAGGTGTCAGACCACCATTTCACTCCCTCCAATTTAGAACGTGTAAAAGTAGCCCTACTTTGACACAAAATAGTGCTTTTGATGTTATTGTTTACTTTTACAAACCGACTAATTTGCAGAAATCAAACTTTCGGCGATAGAAAAAATATTCAGACCATTTTGAGCCAAAATTTACTTGCTTATGAGTTTGCATTAAAAATTGGTGATTACTGCGCTCCATAGTATGCTTATTACAGATTTCCAGAAAACCAGGGTTTATTGTTAGCAGTACCTGTCTTCCAGAAAACAATTCTTTCTTAGAAGAATTTAAACATGGGTTAATACTTGGCATGCTGCTATTAATTCTACAAAACATTCTTCAATCTTATTGTTTGGCAAGTAGGCCAAACCAAGGAAATGTGTCAGCCATTTTCCAAAATCCGAATCTTTGTCCTTGTAAAAGACACTACGACATATCGACTGAATTTTTACGCCACCAACTTTGTCCTAAATAAAATCTGCAACAACTGATTGTAGCAGCATCCAATTTTTTTGTAACAGCAGTATGCATTGCACATTCAAAGTCAAATATATTCATTGCTTGATAAAAAATTGACAAATCTTCATTTAACAAAGCTTAGGAATACTTTTTAAAACTTTTCAAGGAATATTAGAACACACCTTTGAACTCCCGGGCATATAGAGCGTGGTTGAAAGTATATTAACTGTTGTAGGATGAATTGTTGGAAAAGATTTTATGACTGGAGAATTTGATAATTCGAATAATGGTTGCTTATTACGTCATAATAAAATACTCAATAAACCACAACCGCTATAAATCGACAACGTCACAATGCGATTGTTGAATTTTGCTAAAGCATATCAATTCTAATATAGGGTGCTTATTACATCATATGTATAGAGCAATAATAAAATACTCAATAAACCACAACCGCTGACGGAAATAATATCCGGACACCTTTATTTTCGTTTCCTCCCAAACGGAATAATAATAAGCTAGGATGACAAATGCGACTATGCATGATATCTATAGGACACAGAGCCATGATGATTAATTTATTGTGTAAGGAAGAGAAACGACACACAAAAAAATCTTCTCATTTATATGTATAGAAGATAGTGTTCCTACCTGTGCATAATAGTCGCCGCCCTTCTGTACTCCCAAAGCATAATATTGAAAATAGTATACCCGCTGCTTTTTCAAAAAATAATCTTTTCAAATTACATGCCTTTCAACATTTCCGGTAAAATTGTTGCCTGATTGTGTAACACACCTATATACTAATAATGAAGTGGAATACCTAGCCTTTGGAAGTTTTATCATTTCTGTTATTGATTGTTTACTGTTAATTAGGTGATTATAGATAACCTAGCCTTTGCCAGTTTTATCATTTATGTTAATGATTGATTACTGTTCATTAGGTGATTAACGATAACCTAGCCTTTGGCAGTTTTATCATATCTGTTAATGATTGTTTACTGTTAATTAGGTGATTACAGATAACCTATTGTTTACTGTTAAGTAGGTGATTAAAGATAATAGAACAAATACTAGATATTTAATACAAACTGAAAGTGTCGACATGTTCTCCATTTGTAATGTTTATGTATATAGCATGTAAAACTTTTATGAAGTTTAAAGAAATTGTTCCAAGAACTTTCTCTCATATGTTCAAACAATGACAAAAAGGGTTTGTCTTAAATGATATTAAAATATATGAACACTGTAACGTCTGCATTGGTATATGATCTGATCTAATTGAAGCCGAAATCAAATAAAGTCCACCCTACTTACAAAACGAACTAGTTGTCAATATCTCCGACTTGTAAGTTTTAAATAACCCTTTTGGTACCTTATTTACCAGTTCCGCTATTTACAAAGTCGTAATTATCAATTTGGACCAATCCGTCATTGCCACGCACGATCTTTCCAGTACGTTTGTTTCTTTATTCCTATATTTATGTGACACTAGAAATCAGACCCAATCCACTCTTCTCTCAAAGGAACTTTCCATTAACTTGTTGTTCGATTTTTTTTTCATCATCTATTTAAAAAAATGTTAAAATAATAAGTATGCTGAAGAAACAATGTTTAAAATTCAAGGGAGAGGGGGGATGCATATATTTCATGTAGTTTTAAATTAATGATCACATTAATAAAATTGACATCATTCACTCTCTGTACTTCATAATTAAAACAGATAAACGAAAATGCGATTCTTTCCTTAATTATTGTCATTATGTTACAGCACTATCATTTTATACAAAAAATATCTTCATTTAAATAGAAGTACCAAATTTGTTGGAATGTAATTTAAAATAGTTTATGATGATTAAAAGAGATATAGGAAAATGAGATGCATTACCTTAACTATGACCACAGTGTCATGAAAATCAAGAGATGATAGTATCAAAGTGGCACCAAGATAATATCACAGATAGATCCAAAAAAAGGAAGATATCATCATGGTATCATGATAGACATGGCAACTAATGAACTTTTATGGAATATTGAAATGTTGGTGTGAAAATCATATTGTCTAGTTAATTATGTAAATTTGGTGCTATAAATAAGAAGTGAAACAAAATTGAATTATCATTCACTCTGACGATATGGAAATGGCAAATATGGTTGATGTGCTTAAAGGGCTATTGGTGTGAAACTCGTTAAAATGGAGGAAGAAGTAAGCAGAAATATTAGAAAAATTGAGGTAAACCTAATAAAATGTCAACCTATCCGGTTGATTTCTCCTATTATTGCTTCTTCTCAACACATGTACATTTTTTTTAACTAGTTAAAAAAATTTCAATGAGTCTTAATTTCGGATGATTATTATCAAAGTTAAAATTTAAAAAAAAAAGTTTAATTGAAAGCCAGTTTTAAAAAAGAAAACGTTGTAAATGAATTGTATCAATAACTGCCTGTAATAAATGTTTTTCGGTAAAAAAGCCACTGATGACATTGCCAAAATCGAAAGAAGAGAAACATTAATTTTAAATGAACACTTTTTATTTCCCCCTCTTCTTGAATGTTAAATAATGATTCTTCTGAATCTCCCGATGATACAAAGGGATTAAACGTTTTAACTGTATAGAATCTACATGTGAATGAGGAAAGGTTTTTTCTACATTTAATTAAAATATTCTCTCTAAATACACAACGAAGGGTTAAAAATATTCACTGAACAAACAAACTATATTACAGTTACAAATGTAGTCCTATAATCCAATCTTCTGATAAATTATCTACAATAAAATAGTGGAAACAATTTCATTTAAGGGGATACTCTTTTAAATATACAAATGCATATTTAAACATGAGATTGTTTTTGTCGAAACGATAGTTTTCTAAAAGAAGTTATCATTTCCTACTTATTTTATTTAATCGAATGATATTATCCTTTCAGACAAGAAGACTTCGGCAGGCATCATTTTTCAACTAAGTTGATTCAACTGGTGAATTAGACGGTATCGTGGTATGTATTAAAAACTTAGCATCGTTAGCGTTCTCACGTGTACACATCTGAGACTACTAGCATGTTATAGTTATTGTAGTCTCAGAGTACATGTTTATCTTTTCATTTAACCAATGCTTATCTTACAAATTATCGAAGGCATACATTAATGAATTTATTTGTTATTTCTCCTTCAAAACATCAATATCAATGATTAATTCATAACCATAAGACCATAAAATAAAAATGCTGATAATCCATAGTCAACATTCAAATGGATATTTCATGTTTATTTTAACAACTTTGATCAGCTGAAGATATTTGAGCGTCATAATCTTACTTCAAATACTAACACAAGGTTTTCCATCTACCAAATGTCCACATTTTCAGGAGGCTTGATGATATCACATGACTCTTCGATATCTCTACTTTCTGACGTCCTGTTCCCTTGGGTATGTTTAACAATATTGCGCGGCGGTCCATCGTCAATTTTCTCCCCTGAGCTCATTCCTTCTAACACATACAATTCTGCACCTTGGAAGGTGCACAACTGCACTACATCATAGTTGTTGGATTTCTCTTTCCATTACATGTTTTTCTTTCACTCACAACCAACACATCTGCACTGAAAACAATTATATTATAAACGAAGGGCAACACAACTATGACCTAGGCCATCTTTTTCAGAAATATTACGTAACTTCAAAGTTTTTTTACTTCAAATAATAGAAAAGATTAAGGTAAGCCTTATAATATGTCAACCTTTCCGGTTGATTTCTCATTCTATTGATTCTTCTAAACACTTGAACTAGTTAAAAAAATTACAATGAGTCTTTAATTCCGGATTAATACTATCCAAGTTTAAACGAAAGCCAGGAATAAAAAAGATTACGTTTTGAATGAATTGTATAAATAACTGTCTGTAATAAATGTTTATCGGTAAAAAAAACCACTGATGATATGGCTACAATTGACAGAAGATATGAAAGAAGAAAAAAACCAATTTTAAAAGAACACTTTTTATTTCCCCCCTCGTTTTGAATGTTAAATAATGATTCTTCTGAATCTCTCAAAAATACAACGGAGGGTAATCTGTTTAATAATAGAATCTACATGTGAATGAGGAAAGGTTTTTTCTACATTTAACGAAAATATTCTCTCTAAATACATAGCAAAGGGTTAAAAATATTCATTTACCAAACAAACGATATTAGAGTTAGTTTTATAATCCAGTCTTCTGATAAATTATCTAAAACAAAATAGTGGAAACAATTTCATTCTTAAGCATAGATATTCAAAGTTTGTTAATCACATTTATGTCTTCAATTAGATGATACTTGCATAAAGAAGCATCGACAATGGTTGTGTTCGTCGAAATAGTAGTAGAGGAGGGAGTGTTGGTGGAATTTGAAATAAGGAAGAGAAAAAGTAACTTACTACACATGTATATGACAATCGACGTGGAAAAAGTGATTGAATTTCGACTGGTAACGATGAGTTTGAACTTCTTTGTAATTTGAATGGAGGTCTGGATTCATTGAAGAGTTGCTTCCAACAAGTAAGTGTTTATTGTAACTACTGTTATAATTCAGTTAAGAACAATTTCATTATGTTAATTGATCCCCATTCATATGAGAGAAAAAAAACTTCTCTAATTACTCACATGACTCTTCTATATCGCTACTTTCTGAAGTCCTGTTCCCTTGTGTATGTTTAGAAGGGATAAGGTGGTGAGGCGGTCCTTCGTCAAATTCTCCACTGAGCTGCTTCCCTCAAACACATACAAACCTGTACCTTAGAAGTTGCAGTCCAACTTCACTATATCATAGGTTGGCGAAAAGATATCAAAAAAGGAACAGACGGCACTCCATTAATTGTAGCTGTAGAGGTGTTAAGAGTGAGATTGATCCCCTATTGTCGCCTTTATTCGTAGAAACACACAGTACTATTTCAAAATGTAAACACATGATCATCTGCTGTGTGAACTTGAGAAAACCTGTTTCTTCGAGTATCTTGTAGATTCCCAGAAATCACGGCAGATGAAGTAGTATTAGAATTTTCCCTGTAAATGTTGGTAGAATTCATAGAATTCCGTAGTTCCATTACAACTTCTGTTAAAATTCCTATATGTGGAAGTTCATTTGGCAAATGACTGGTTACATTTTGTAAATTTAGCGAGCCTTCTTGATCTTAATTCGACAATTCTTCAGTTATAAAAAATTTTTTTTACACTGTTCTACTTAATTTTGAAGTAACACTTATTCCAATATTGGTAAGTTCGTCCTTGATTTTTTAAGACGAAGTCACTATCTTGTCTGTTGTTTGCAAATGAACATGGAGAATATTGACTTGATGACTTCCTTTTTCTTCGAGAAGCCATTGTGTATAGTAATCCGTAAAAAATACCAAATGTGAGATACTAAACTTTTATATTAAATCGAATATTTTTCGCATTCAAAAAATAGCCTCACTGCATAGGTACTATTTGTACCTGCTCCAAGTTAGAAGTCAGTATTTTGTTAGTGGTTGTTACTCGTTGTTTTGTCATTTATTTGTGTTTGTGTTATTAATATTAATCTGATATATTTTTTAATATTGTTTTATTCTATCTGAATTGTTTAGCACTAGTCATAAATATTCATTTTGGAGACCATTTATAGTTTACTTTGCAGTGTGAACCATATCTCCATGCTAGAGCAAAGACTGGTCGACCCGGAGTCAGAATAATGTGTCTTGGTGAGGTATCCACCTATTGCCTTGTGCGCTTACACGTTCACCTTGTTCAATAACGATAATAAATGATGAATAATATACATACAGATGGGCTATTTCCAACGACAACGTACACATTTACTGGTGTTGATATATATCCACACACGCTAAAATCCTCATAAGCGACGATAATTGTGCTAAGTTTTGAAATAATCTGGTTTGGGATATCTACTCTTAAGTGGGCTTCCTCTGTCATTCGATCAATTATCGGAATTTTCAACGAGCTCGGCACCTGAAACTTCTAGAATCTAGGCCCTGATTTGCACAATTGAATGTATATACATTAAAGATCAGGTCTTCCTGCCCTACACTTGTATTTGACAATCGACGTGGAAAAAGTGATTGAATTTCGACTGGTAACGATGAGTTTGAACTTCTTTGTAATTTGAATGGAGGTCTGGATCCATTGAAGAGTTGCTTCCAACAAGTAAGTGTTTATTGTAACTACTGTTATAATTCAGTTAACAACAATTTCATTAAGAGATAAATGTATTTTCTCTTCTTTGCGTCATTATAACCTTTGTAACTAATCACGATTTAATTTTCACATGACGATTTCAGTTTACTTTCGTATTTTTTCCACGTTGTGAAATGTGAAACCAACAACAAAAAAATCACCATAAATATATAAGCGCTATATATATTTTCTTGTATGTTGGTCATTTATTTTTGTTTTTTTATTTTATTTATTTACACAAGTCGATGTGCAAGATAGCATCTGGACAAACTTCAATTTACATCAATTATGATTGATTATTTATCCAAATTCAAACTTCTGCGATTTTTTTTCATAGCCTCAACAACAAACAAATATACCTCACCCACACCATCATTGTCCCATCATCAACCCATACCACTAATCAAAAAGGAGAAATTCATCGTCCTTAATTTGTAACAACTCAACAACCTGCCATATAAACCGCTACCACTGGAACTAAGAGACCCCAAAGTAAAAAATTAAATCTTGATGACATGAAAATAACAAAGATTGGAGCACACTATGAGGATGCAACACCACCAAGTCTAGAAGAAATTGTAGATAATGTCCCTCCTGAAATGTTTGAAGACTTTTATTATACCCCCATTCAACTAGGAAGCAAGACTCATAGTAATGACGAATTAAACTTTTTTTTGTTGCTTTTTTTTTATGTATCAACATTTCACCACAAAAGTGTGCAGGTCAATGCAATTCACATATTAAAATAAACAGATATAGTTTATGCATGAACAACCATAATAGAGATATAAATGTGAGATATAAATTTGTAAGTTTAAAAACTTTACTTGTAAATACTACACATATTATGTTAAATAAAAAAAAACCGAACTGGATAGATAGTAAAACATCTTTTCTAATAACAAAACTATATTGAGCTAACACTATAAAAGCCTGGGGATCATTAAGTATGATATGATATTACTATAATATAAACGTACAAAGATATGATTTGAAACATTATAATCTCATTTAAAACAAAACATCCACAATGCACATAGTTAAAATTTATCAACTGAGAGATATAGTCATATCGTAAACGTATTGAAAATAAAGAAAAGAATTGAGATCATACTATCTTCTCACCTAAAAAGACAATTTTACAAGTACATTGTCAAACAGCACAAGGGCTTTTTTTTTAAAAAAAAGCTCGCATCCTTCTTTTTTGGGATAACGAGACCACTGGAGATAGAACACACAAAAATGAAGACACCAGCAGAATATCATGTTAAATATGGTGATGTTGGTGTGGAAATCAACACCGATGAAATAATCTAGTTATATATATATATATATATATATGTATAGAAAATAAAAGGATATGGAGTAAATGTACATGGGACAAAATCGCACACAATACATAGAAAACATAGAAAATTATCAATGAACAGGGCTTTTATTCCTGTTCTTCATCTTGACGGTTGATGTAGGGTCTTCAACAAAGAACGAATCATTCATACCCTACAACAAGGTCAAGACGGCCCCTAGCGTCGACTTAAGCGGTACTATTGATCAAAACAAACCACAGTTCACCTTCTTGCTCCCCACCCGCCTCGGAGTGCCAACTTGTGCGATGCTTGTGTGCGACGGTTCTCCAGTCGAAAGCACCAGGGATACAAGAAAAGTGCATTAATTTTGAAAGACATCGATATATATGTATATAACTAATTATGCAAATTTTATATATATATATTATATATAACTAATTATGCAAATTTTTGAAAGGGAATGAAGTGATATAAATAATAGTAGAAAAACATGCAATATTATTCACTTTTGATAAACATGGAAAAGGCACTAGAAATACTGAAAGGTCAACTTGTTAAAATTCTCCAGATGGAGTTGGAACTCCGGAAAAATATGGAAATGATAGAGATGAGTCTAATAATAAGTCAACCTATCTGGTTGATTTCTCCTTCTATTACTTCTTCTCAACACCTGTATATTTTTTTACTATAAAATTTTCTAAATAATTTATTAATACAACTGGTTAAAAAATTTACAATTAGTCTTAATTTCGGGTGAATATTGTTCAAGTTTAATTTATGCCGGTAATTAAAAAGAAAACGTTTTGGATAAACTGTATTATTAACGGTCTGCAGTAAATGTTAATCGGTAAAATAGCCACTGAAGATATTGCCACGATTGAGTGAAAATCTGAAAGAAGAGAAAAAACAAAAATTTTTAAAATGGAAACACTATTTATTTTTCCTATCTACTTGAATGTTAAATAATGATTCTTCCGAATATTTTAATGATACAAGGGAGGGTAACCTTTTTAACTGAATGGAATTTACATGTGCATTATTATGGTGGTTTTTTCTACATGAAAGTATAATATTTTTTTTCTAAATTTAAAACAAAGGGGAAAAATATACATATACAAATAAACGACACTACAGTTATTATAATAGTCCATTCTTCTGATAATTTATCTACAATAAAATAATGAAAACAATTTCATTTAAGGTTTTTTTTTCAATATATAAATGTATATTAAAACATGCGATTATTTTTCTTTCATCGAAAAGATAGTTTTCTAAATGAAGTTATCATTTAAACGAATGTAAAAATATCTTCGAATCAGATAAGACTATCAAATGAGGAACATCAATCGATTTAACTGTAGGAGGAGAGTATGAAGTGGTATGTATTAAAAACTAAAGCTTTATTTATCATATTTCAAATACGATTATACTTACATAAAGATGCATTGAAAACTGTTGTGTTACTCCAAGTAATTGTCGAGGTAGATGTGGTGGAAACTGAAATTTAAAAAAGATTCATTATAAATTATGACAAAATCAATTAACTCGTGTAGAGAAAATTAATATACTATCTTCATGATTGTCAGATTCATATCGTCCAGTGGGAATTATTTCGCACATAAATTTACATTAGTTTGATGGATTAATAGAAACCATTTTACATGCTCATTTTATCTGGATGTGGGAGTGTACATATACACCCAACATGTCATTACCAGTTGGGAGAAAACCATCTTATTAATTTCTTCTTTCATAATTACATGTGGGGAAACAATACATTTTACAAACTACTTTATTTACCTGTTAATTCTTCATTTGATGAGTATATGGATAATGATAACTGAAATTATAAAATAATATTTTTGTTTTGCATTTAAAATGAAAGAAAACAGGAGAATTTTGAAAGTGAGTACCCTTATCACCAGTTTTTTTTTAATAATATACTTTTATATCAACTCCTTTTTTTAATGAAAGAAAGCAATGTAGATTGAATAGATAGTTAACCATCCTTAAAATGAAATATGAATATATAACCTACTCATTTTATTTAACCAATGAAATTATCTTTTTAGGCAAAGAGAAGACTACCCCCCACAACAGCAGCCAACCCCATAGATTTAACAGCGGAGCTTGATTAAATGAGAAAGAGAGGGAAGAGACGGTATGTATAAAAAAAAAAATGATTTTAATTTAATATCTAGTTCAAAATTACATTTTCTACTTACATAAGAATGTATATATGTATATATGTATATGGATGGAATATGAGTGCTATTGTGACGTTACAATGCATTCTTAATATAACGAAAACCCATTCTCTTTAAAAATTGTTAGTGCATGTTTTCAATATTATCATTTTTTTTTTCTTTGAAATGTGAATTTTAATATAATATGTTCTCTTTTCTCAGAGAATTAAGATTTATTTCAAAGTGGTAACTAATTATTATATCTGTATTTATTTTAGTTGAATGATATCAGGAGTATTGTTGGTAATCATTTGGGGGAGAAGAACGTAAGTATCCAATCTATTTTTAAATAACATTCCATATATGGAAATCGTAAACCCCCAAAAAACCACGTGACAATATATCCATATACGGAACAGACATATATTACATAATATAAACATAAAAAAAAAAAAAACTTTTCACTCACCTCACATACATGTTTGTGTATGATCACACTGGTGTAAGTTTCTCCAACAAAATATGAACACAGTCCATTATCAGATGAATCCAAATATATGGTAACTCCGTGAAAAGGATATTTCACATCTTTTATCTGTTCGAATGATATTTGGAAAAACCATACTTCTTGAACCTCTTCTGAAACAATGCCGGAGAAATAAGATTCCTCCCCTCTGCAATCTAAGACTGATTCAAAACGGTTACTGCTCATTATGTCTACAGTGTGTTGTCTGCACCACAACAGTAACAAATATAATGATTGAAAACATGATGAAATACAGATAAGGCGGCGATTACGATAACAGTAGTGACTCTTCTAGATTGAAAGCGTTTATGACGTAATCATCCTATAACGTGATGAAAGGGGTCAGGGTGGGGGTATTTCATATAGAATAAACCAAGCAATATTCTTTACAAAGTACATCATTAACGAAATGAAATAAGAATAATAATATACGTAAATTATATATGTTTTAAAAAAATGTAATATTATATCTTTCCCAGATAGAGGAAAAGATGGAAGAAGAGGAGACTAGCGTCCCAATAAACATTTTTAATGGACTTTTCCATTTTAACAATGGACGAGCAATACTGAATTATTTATAAAATATAAAATTCATGATTTAAAATGTTGATTTATTTCTGCTGAAAATAATATCATGAGTATGTGTATAAGGCATACAATTTTCTTCATTGTTTGTATTCTATACAATTTTGAACACCACCCAGAGTTCATTGAAGATCTTTATTTTTGTGGTTGTTACTTTGATGCAGTGTTAGCAGACTACAAGTTTATGGATCCTGTCAACTACCAATAAAAAAATCCATGTATATCATTTACATGTGTACAACGGTTCTTTTTAGGACCAACACATCATTCAAAAAGAGTCTTTTATTGTTGTACATGATTAGTTCGATTTTGTTCTCCAACGATTATGAAATATCTACACAAGGTTCACAACTTGTTAATTTTCAAAGAAAAGAAAACTAGACTATATATGTTATTACTTTCAATTGATAAACACACATTATTTCAACTAAAACAGCATTATGATAACAAAAATTTTCATATTGAAAATTGGAAATTACACCTTAATGAAATTCTATAAAATATAGATATATATTTTTGTGTATATGAAAAAAAAAATCATTTAAGTTGAAATGTTAGAGAGAATCAGCACAGAAAACCCTCAAACAAAGTGGTGTATTTTTGTCAGAAGATAACAGTTTTCATAATTGTTATTGCAGCAGTTGTTAATTTGTCGACACAAAATGGAAGTATAGAACTATGGGTTAGTTTGTTAAGTGGTTGTACTGGTTACATTTTACCAAACCCCTCTATGAATAAAATGTAAATGATATTCATATTGAAAGAAAGGAGGAAAAACGAGTGTTTTAGTGACCCTCCTCCCCATCACATGACTGAAACGTTTACCATTGATTGATTGATTGTTGGTTGCTTAACGTCCAGTGGCAAATATTTCATGCATATTCAGGACGAGAACAAGTTCACAATAAATACAATATGTAGGTTCTGTAATAGATTAAGGGATTATAGTCGGAGAAATTTAGACTGCCACGGGAAATGAGGGTATATTGGATAGGGACAGAAATTTAGCCTTGCAACAGGTCACCTACGGACACCTCAAAGAGTTGTTGCAAGGTTTCTTAACGTGCAAAGAGCGTGGCACTCTCTTTACACGAGGCATCGGATTTAACGTCCCCATTCTGACCGGATGTGGCTGCAAATTTGTACATCCCGCACAGCTAAACGGACGCCCCACTTTAGCACGGGTTTTACTGCCGGTCGGAAGAAGACCAATGGTGACCATACTTCTATTCCCCAGTCACCCTTGGGGGTCGAAAAAAACGTTTACCATACGTTTCGTTAATCTTTTTATGAATCATCATTAACCATTTAATCCGCGATCACAACTATAAAGCATACAATTATATCAATGACACAGGCACAGGTTGATTTATCTAAAGAGGTGTACGGTTGTGACTTTGAACATTTGCATACTGATTTATTCAAGAAACAGATTGAATGTTTAATTGATGAAACGATTAAAGTGGTGGTGAAGAAAAGAAGAAAACATACCCGATTGCAGCTTGTTATTAAAGGAAAAAAGATTCTGATCAGTAAAGAAAAATGGACGAAACTGTGTAATCTAAAGGAAAGCATCTTATTTCTTCATTCATTTATAGACGAACACTGATAGTATAATGGTGGACATTAACGACGGTATGGGAAAAAGGCTACTTTCAACTGTATTATTGTTTGGTTTTTTTTGCTGAATTATTAGAAGAAATGGTCCAACAATTAACTATTATCAAAGAAGTTTTGCCAGGGATACAAAGTTGAACATGAATCACAACATAGACACAATTTTTTGATGGACAGTGAACTGGATAAACTTGAAAAACATTTTGAACAGGCGTATTGTGAATTTAAATACAGTCACATACTAGGAAAATACAGAGAAAATGTGAAAACATTGAACTTGGAAAATAGTGTCGTTTAAAACTTTTTCATTCTTCATGTGTTTTTCATGGATACACTTCGATCAGAAAAAATGAAAGAGACTTTTTATAATTTAAAGGAAAGGAAAGTAAAACTTGAAGGACGTTTCACACAACAAGATTGTATTATATATAAATACGTGTATATTTCATTGAATAAATTTGTGTACTGATATGAACATTTTTCGTTGTGTATTTATTTTTTAATGAAAAAATTATATTTCCGGTAAAGACTAGAAATGACTTCATGTTCGTTTATATCATTTCGATTGTTTTTGTAATCATTCGTTTATTTCCGTATGCATATTTATTTCCGGTAGTAGTCGGAAACATTCGTTTATTTCCGAATGTAAAGTCATTATCCGATCATTTACGGAATCGTTCGTTAATATCCGCTTTTTCATTCCGGAATCATTAGGTTGCATCCGTATTTTACTTCATTTGTTGCACTATATTGTGTACTTGTTGTTTTTTTTTTCAGTTGTAGTATTTTGATTTTTTTTTCTGGTGATGTATTTTGATTCTTTTTTTTTCTTTCTGGTGATGTATTTTCTTTTTTCTTTTTCAAAAAAAAAAAAAAAACTAAAACAAGTTAGAAATAACAGTATATAAAACAAACAAATACCTTGAAAAATAAAAAAAAAAACACAATCCATAAGACAATTAAGGGAGTTCGCTTCTCAGTTTCAACATAATAAGCTTTTCAAAACACTAGTTTATATTGATAGGGAATTAATAAAGGAATCAAAAGAGCAAAAAAAATGTAGTCAATGTACTTGTTTTCGAGATATTAGCCATTGAAATTTTGGCGGGAAAATGTTCTCTCTTGACTTTTCGTAGCTTAATCATTGACAAATTTAAGTTCTCAAAAACTATTAAAAAATTATTAAAATTTTATTAGACTTTAACAGATGGCTTATCATACATGTAAAAGATTTATAAAAAGAAAAATGGGGGTCAATGGGCAAATTGTTTAAAGGCATTCAAATTGATAAAACCAGAGGATTCCGAAATCTGACAAAAATTCCAAAACATGACAAGCGAACATCCTTAAGGTTTAGACAACAAACAAACAAAAATGTGTGAAGACCAGGAGAAAGTGCTTTTGCAGTTTCAATCACCGTGTTGTATACAAATAGTTGGACCTACTCAGTCAGGAAAAACGATGCTTACATATAAAATCCTGGCTCAATCTGAATACCTGTTTACCAAAATACCAAAGAAAACCATTTATTGTTACTCTGCAAATCAGGATTTGTTTTCAGAGATGGAAAGAAAGTTAGAAACATAACTTTTCACGAAGGTTTACCTGATAAATGGTCAGAAAATAAAGAACACATGATTCTTTGTCGTGATGATTTATTATGTCAAGCTTTAAACACTAGTGATGTATTAAATCGTTTCACCGTCAAATCTCATCATTGTAATATAACAGTTTTGTTTCTAATGCAAAATCTTTTCCCTCCTGGAAAATGCATACGTACTATTTCGTTAAACGCAAAATCAGGCATGGGGTAATGCAAATTTGTAATTGTAATGCATGGTAATGCATTACATTTTTCCAAGTAATTGCATGTAATGTGTAATGCAGCAATTTTTGCATTACATGTAATTGTAATATAAAAGTTGTGTAATTTCATGCATTACATTGCATTACATGGCATTACTTTTTTCACATACTATATATCTTTAACAGATTGTTGGAGATTAAACTGAAGCAGAATTTAAGATTTTTTTATTGACTAAGAACATAATCATTTGAATATTGATTTTTTTTATTTTCTATTTATTTATTACACTTTACATAAATCACCTGAGAGAATTCGGAGTAAGCCTTGCCCCAGGTAGAACTTGAAAAGAAAAAAATAAAGTGGTATAAATACTAGAATGACCAAATTACAATTCTAAATGAATAGCACAACACTGTATATCAGATTGAGTTCTTTTTTCTTTTTTTTCATTTTCTTTTATACATTTTCCTGCATAAAAGATTGATATTTGAAAAGCATTACTGTAAAAGTGTTCCATTGTTGTCAAAAGATCACATGATTAAATAACAGGTAATTGAACATTGTCATAAAACACTAATTAGTTTGTTTTACAATCAATCTTTTCACCATTTTGTCACTTGGTCATAAATTAAGCTCTATGTTTATTTTATAATTAGGGGAGAAATTCTCAGTAAATATTTTGATTGAAATTAAAAAAAACAAATGTATATTTATAAAATTAAAGTTAACATTAAGTTAAAATAAGTATTAAACTTCATCTCTGTAATTTCTTTTTCGAGAAAACACAGAGATGTATACCTTTAAACATTAAAACCAAAGATAGAAGAGCAATCAACTTATAGGTTTTGTTATCAAGATTCAAAGTTTTATTATCCACAGACACAACAGTGTACAAGAGGTCAATATACATACATACATACATAAACAAAACAAAATATCTATACAGTAGTTATAATACAATTATGAAAAACATTACATGTACGACAACAGGTGCTAACACACATTTAACAATCACATGATTCTCGTGGCACTTTCATTTGTATACAATACAGTCAGTTTAAAGTATATCTGTCATTTGGATTTAACACAATGTCATGAATTTGTGAGTATTTAAATAGGTATTAATAAGTGAATAATTATAAATACTTGATAATGTTTTTGATATATCTGCAAATATTACGATATAACTTTACATTGCAATTTGACAGCATTCCAATCATCTTGATCTCTGATGGATTTGTATTGTAATAAGGTGGAATAAATTTTTTGCGCAGATCCACGAAACAGTCGGGTAGTCAGAAATATCATTCTACATGAAACCTTCGAAATCCTTATGATGTTAAAATGTAATAATCTTATTGAATAGACTTTTTACATGTATCCATAAATTCAAAACACGGAACAATTACTGCATATGCTAGAATCTATTGTGACTTCGTGTTGTTTTTCTAAATGTTTGATTTTTCTTTTCACTTGATAATAAAATTTACAAATGTAATGTGTAATTCAATGCATTACTTTGCAAAAGTAATTGTAATTTAATGCATTACTTTGATAAATACATGTAATTGTAATTTAATGCATGGTTTTGTCAAAGTCATTGTAATATAATGCATTACATTGCAATGTAATTCGCCCCATGCCTGCGCATCATACATAATATGTCTAAAAAACCAACGTGACAAACATCAGTTATCAGTTTTAGGAAGACAGATTCTCCCAGGTCAATTAAAAGGCAGTTTCTAGTAGGTTTGGTTATTTGATTATCGATTTGTCAACGCATACAGATAAAACATATTTATTGAGAACAAATATTTTCAAAGGAGAAGATCCAGTAATTTTTGTTCCAAAATGAGTAAACAAGTTTTAGCCCATGTACACTTTTATCGCTTTTAATTACATGTGACGAAGAACAGAAAATTGCATTGTTGAAGACCATGAACAACAAACAACTTCAACTTTTAGTTAGCCGATCAGTTAGAAAGTAACTCAGGAAATATAAAAGTATCATTCGGAAAATAACACACAGAGAGACATCACGTATTAAAGAAAAAAATTGTTTCTGAAATATCATAGCATTATTCCTATTATTGTAAAACCTATACTTGAAACAATTAAAAAATGACAAGAGAAATTATAGAAACATAGATATGTAAGTATAGTACAAACAGAAAACAATGAAAGCAGCAAACAAACTTGTTCTAGGGAAGAATTTTAACCCAAGGAGGAATTAATAACCGAAAATGAAAATTCTGACCATGAAATGAACACTTTAATCGAGCTGACCATACCAGTGAAATATAGAGAGAAGGGGAAAAAACTATTGAACTTTCTTCAGACTCAACCATCAATTAGTTGGAACAAACGAGGAGAAATTCAGATTAACAACGAAACTATACCAAACACTCATATTGTTGACTTATTGCGGGATGTTGTCATTCCTTATGGATGCAAACAACCACCGAATGGATATATACACTTTTATAACTTTCTTAAAACTATCCACATACCTATGGGATTTATTTAAATTGAATGAGAAGACAACTGTTTCAATCGGATACAACTACAACACTGAAAAATGAACTATTAGCTGAATGTGAACACGTTAGAAAAAAAGAAAAAAAGAGACAAATAACAATAAACATTGTGTAAAAAGAGAACTTTCAAGACTGTGTTGAATATTAATTTTATTCAACACAAACAATTAAACTATCAGACTATGGTGGTTATTTTTGTTTTTTGTCTAATAATGTGATGATGTCAATCAACGAAATCCCTATTCCAGACAACTTCCTTAAATCATAGACTTATTCTTAGTAATAGCAAATAAAGGAAAGTAAAAATTTTATAACATTGAAATCACCACCAATTAAGAGCTCGCAATATCCTGAAAGTATGTGTTTCTCTGCAGTGAAGATTAACTACTAACAAAACAATGAGATAAAATATCTAACACACAAAAGTATAATTGTTATCAACTTATTTTATTAATATAAAAAAATACTGTATGGTGGTATACTTTATGAATTTGCAAAGTGAAAATAAAAGTTTTATTTTTTCCAGTCTAAATTATAATAAATGTCATCAATTAAATATTTTTTAATTTTTAGAAATACATTAATACTATTATTTTGGGTTTTACATAGCATATAACAATGTATTTATATATTAAAAGTGTTTTTATATTAAAAGTATATATATACAAAAAACATTCATTAAATCAAATCAAATCAAATCAAACTTGTATTGCCATATAAACCAACTTATACGATTTGTGACAAAAACAACATTAACATAATGACAAGAAAAATGCATGTATAATCATATTAAGCAAACTAATGAAAATAGTTCAAAATTCAATTATGAGTCCCCTAACCTTAGTGCCAATTTAAAGACAAATATGTTTTTAAAGTGCACCATGATTGTAATAACATATCACATAAGAAACATTTTTAAAATGCAAACACTATTAATAAACATAAACTTTACTGGTTGGGTGTAACATATTTACATAACTTTACATATACACACAAGATATATCTTTCCAACATTGTGTATTATAAAAAGTAAAAAAAAGAAGATAAACTGCATCATATTTTTTTTTACAGATATTCATAATATAGTTTTGAAACAGTAAATTAGACACACACACACACACACAAAATTATCAGTTTGAGAAGTTAATTATTAATACATAATATTATCTTTCTTTTATAACACTATGCAAAAAAAAAAAGAAAAAAAAAACAACATCTATATTACATAGCTATTTAAAAAAACTTTTTTTCCCTGAGTAACATATTACTATTTCAAATTCAAATAGAAAAAAGCACACAACCTTAAAGGGAGACAACTTTATGTGTTAATAAAAGTTTTGAGTAGTTAATTACCATTGCAATATAGATATCATATATCTTGTTTATAGCACTATACAGACAAAAAAACAAAAAAACAAAAAACAACATGTTAATTACATAACTATATAAAAAAACTTGTTTTCTCTGAGTAGCATATTACTATTTCAAGATAAAAACAAAAAAGCATGCAACCTTGAAGGGAGACAACCTTATGTTTTAATTAAGGGGTGAGAATTTCATTATCATTGAATTAGTGATTGATTGATTGATTGTTGGTTGCTTAACGTCCAGTGGCAAATATTTCATGCATATTCAGACCGAGAACAAGTTCACAATAAATACAATAGGTAGGTTCTGTAATAGATTAAGGGATTAAGGTAGGAGAAATTTAGACTGCCACGGGAAATTGAATTAGTGATGTCATATATCTTTTTATAGCACTATACAACAAACTTGTTAATTATATAGATGTATGAAAAACTTTCTAAGTTAATAGTCTTCAGACAATTTAATTCTTAAAAATTAATTGACTAAAAGTGTAAACAAATGAGGGAAGGGGAATTTCTAATCAATCAATCACCTTTCTTTCACACAATAATTTTATCTTTTATCATAATAAATAATGAGGTGTTTTTTCACAACAGCAAATAAAAGATTGAGTAAATAAAATTAGACCCCACCTACAAATAACAACTTGTATTGTTTCTTTCAAATACAAAGAGATTAGATAATTGATATATGAAAAAAAAATGAGGATTAAAAAAAAATCATCTCCATTATTCCACCCTTAGTATAGATAATTCCTTATACCCCTCCCATTCACTTAATCCAGGATGTGAAGTACTAATAAATACATCTTAACACTTGTTTGATAATCATACGTTAATTAGTTGCAAACTGTAAAAAAAAAAGAAAATGAATTCAAATAAGAACATCATCAAAATAGTTATGATTGAGAAATGTCTGTTACAGCTGTCGTCATTGGTTCAAGATGTTAAGGTAAGTTTTTTTCACAGTTAAAAAAGAATAGAATATTTTGGTTTAATTCCAATGAATACTTAAATAACTTTTGAAATAGTAGGAAAGTGAAAATTTATCCATGAAACTAGAATTGAGTGTGTACACTATAACATTTCAAAACTCAAAACTGATTATAAATTAATGTATTTGGAGCAACACGACGTCTGTTGCTCCTACGTAAAGGTTTTCTTTTCTGAATAAAATAATGAAAAATATAATTAAGATTGATTATTGATTGTTGGTTGCTTAACGTCCAATGGCAAATATTTCATGCATATTCAGGACGAGAACAAGTTAATAATAAATACAAGAGGGGCGTGCGGGATTAAGGTCGGAGAAATTTAGACTGCCACTTGAAATGGAGTATATTGGATATGGACAGAAATTTAGCCTTGTAACAGGTCACCTACAGACCCCTCAAAGAGTTGTTGCAAGGGTTCTTAACGTGCAAAGAGCGTGGCACTCTCTTTACACGAGGCATCGGATTTAACGTCCCCATTCTGACCGGACGTGGCTGCAAATTTGTACATCCCGCACAAAAATATAATTAATAACTGATATATAAGATTGATAAATGCATTGTAGTTCAAACTTCTATTAATAGCTATTGTGAAAACCTTTTATATAGAATGTATTAGCAAGTCTTTGACACTCTGCCTCATGGGGATAAGTCCCAATATTATTACTGTTAAGGATGACAAAATATCTGAAATAAAAAGAAGTTTAACTGTAAATAAAGCTAACCTAATTTATATAAAAAAACCTTACTTACATTTTCGTTCCATTTCACACGAAAAAAAATTTTATTATCACTTGTCAATGAAGTAATGCTAAGCATTCTTCTAAGTGAAACTGTGTCTACGTTTGAAGGAAGAATATTATGATTGATTGATTGTTGGTTGCTTAACGTCCAGTGGCAAATATTTCATGCATATTCAGGACGAGAACAAGTTAACAATTAATATAATAGGTAGGTTCTGTGAAAGGGGCTTCCGGGATTAAGGTCGGAGAAATTTAGACTGCCACGGGAAATGAGGGTATATTGGATAGGGACAGAAATTTAGCCTTGCAACAGGTCACCTACGGACCCCTCAAAGAGTTGTTGCAAGGGTTCTTAACGTGCAAAGAACGTGGAACTCTCTTTACACGAGGCATCGGATTTAACGTCCCCATTCTGACCGGACGTGGCTGCAAATTTGTACATCCCGCACAGTCAAACGGACGCCCCACTTTAGCAAGGGTTTTACGGCCGGTCGGAGGAAGACCAATGGTGACCATACTTCTATTCCCCAGTCACCCTTGGGGGGCAAGAATATTATGACTATAACATTTAACATATATGTTTCCTATACAATATCATAAAAACAAAAATAATAAATATACAAACAAATGAGAGTACACCTAACAATATAACATAAATTTCATTATCTTTTCCCTCTGTATTTTCCACATCTGAAAAGTATAAAAAAATTTTGTATGAAAATACATGATTTTCACAACTAGTTCTCTTAAATCTATTTTTCATCTTTTCTCACGCTCAAAGCGATTACACTTTTTATCAACGTGATTAATAGAAATTTATATTTATAATTTCAAAACTAAAAATACTTACATCCACGAATTTTTAATGTAGTCATTTCTCCCTCATCTTTACCCTGTGAAAATGTTTGAAGGATAGCGTTCCACCGGGATTCTTTAATTTTACAGATGCAGGAGAGAAGCAAGCCCCAGGATATTGTTGTAAGTGTGCATATTCATTCATTTTAATGAATGAAAACTATATATAGATAAGCAAATCTGTTTTCAACTCCATATGAATTGATTATAAATTTAGTATTGCTTGTAAATATCAGCTTTCAGAGAATTAATATGTCAATTTAAAGTATATGTGTAAAATTAATTTTCATCTTCATCATAAAAGATTGTATATTCTTATTTTAAAGCTATACATGTTTATTTTGTAGATGATAGACTTGACAAAAGAGGAAGAGAAAGATCCTTACTGTGTATGTATAGATTTAACTCATTATAAGTTGCAAATCTGTTTTCAACTCCATATGAATTATTTATAAATTTAGTATTGCTTGTAAATATCAGCTTTCAGAAAATTAATATGTCAATTTTAAGTATATGTGTAAAGTAAATTTTCATCATAAAAGATTGTATATTTTTATTTTAAAGTTCTACATGTTTATTTTGTAGATGATAGACTTGACAATAGAGGAAGAGAAAGATCCTCACTGTGTATGTATAGATTTAACTCATTATAAGTTGCAAATCTGTTTTCAACTCCATATGAATTATTTATAAACTTAGTATTGCTTGTAAATATCAGCTTTCAGAAAATTAATATGTCAATTTAAAGTATATGTGTAAAGTTAATTTTCATCATGAAAGATTGTATATTCCTATTTTAAAGCTATACATGTTTATTTTATTAATAGACTTGACAAAAGAGGAAGAGAAAGATCCTAACTGTGTATGTATAGATTTAACTCATTATAAGTTATACAATTTATACAATGTTAACAATATAATTAAGAAAGGGTTAAAGTAAAAAATAAAATAACCATTGCATGCTTTATTGTTTTTTTTTATCATGTGCGAATGTTTAAATGTTTTTTTAAATTTCTATTCAACAGCTTGATTTAACCAACCTGAGTCATGCCAGGGGGGGGGGGGGTCAAAATGTAGACTCCAAACCATCATTAGTAAGTACATCTTGATTTTTGGTAATACGTAATAAAAAGATTGATTTGATTTTTGGTGTTTTAACGCCACTTTTAAGCACCGCTTTTGTAATAAAAAGAAGAAAGAAAAAAAAAACAGATTCACCAAATAAACAAATAATTGTAAAGCAAATAAAAAAAAATGAGTAAATGAAAACAAAAGGTGTTTTTAATACCTTACTTCCAAGTTTTTGTTAATACATTTTGTTTATATATAAACATGATAAATGTTTAATAAATTATAGCTAATAATGATACTTTTTATTCTACAGAACAAGAAGAGGAAGTTGATAAACACCATTTCAGATGATGAAAATGATGTAAATTATGGGTTGAGAAGTAGAATATGCATGTATACTATAATAAGAGAAAGAGAAATGACAGGGAAGATGAATCGACTTAGATGAGGAACAAGGTATATAAACTTCGTTATGATTGATTGTTGGTTGCTTAACGTCCCGTGGCAAATATTTCATGCATATTCAGGACGAAAACAAATTAACAATAAATATAATATGTAGGTTCTGTAATAGAGGCGTCTGGGATTGAGGTCGGAGAAATTTAGACTGCCACGGGAAATGAGGGTATATTGGATAGGGACAGAAATTTAGCCTTGCAACAGGTCACCTACGGACCCCTCAAAGAGTTGTTGAAAGGGCTCTTAACGTGCAAAGAGCGTGACACTCTTTACACGAGGCGTCGGATTCAACGTCCCCATTCTGACCGGACGTGGCTGCAAATTTGTACATCTCGCACAGCCAAACGGACGCCCCACTTTGCCGAGGGTTTTACCGCCGGTCGGAGGAAGACCAATGGTGACCATACTTCTATTCCCCAGTCACCCCAGGGGGGGGGGGGGACTTCGTTATGAAGACAGTCATTGTTATTAATAACGGTTGAAGTTTAACCATGTTGTAATTTTAGATATTTCATTCACTGATCTACTATACACGAGAACCGGGGAGATTCATATTAATTCTAGAAATGTTAACTTATCGCCTGGCTTAATTATAACTAGAAGTCTTTCATGAATATTCATGCAAATTTTTTTATTGTGTTATATTTTACCACTCAAATAAAATTAATGTAGACTTACTGTACGCATTTTCCCATCTACCATCATCAGTTTATGATTAATATCACCACACAAATTCAACGATTCTTCCAACATTATGATAACATGCTTCGTAAATTTCACATCTTCAAGTTAATCTTTGCTCTGTATATGGTTAAAGCTTATGTTTACAACATCATCTGCTACCTCTCCCTGAAAGCTCTCTTCTGTTTCCCTCGAACAATCTTTAAAATCTTCCACTCTATAGCAAGATGATATATGTACATCTCCTACATTTAAAACACTTTGAATGCAAAAAACAAACTCAAAAGCAACATGGCGACCATTTTTTCTTTCTTTTTCCGATTATGTCATGTAAAATGTCACGCGATTTAAATATAATACTATAGTGTTGAGTTTTGGTAAAGTGATGATTTTTGACTAATTAATTTTGTTGTATTTTACAGAAATAGACTACTAAGTATTCGAATAAAAGACGGAATGGAATGGAAGACTTTATTTTATGGAAATCAACATTATTTTTGTGATAAATTTTGTAATAAATTATGTAAACATTTTTTTTTTATATTTCTTATTTAATGATGCAGTGGTATATTTTTTTAGGTAGAGATTTATATACGAATAGAAAAGAAACGAAAAAGATGCAAATATTTACAATCCCTAATGAAAAGTTTTTTTTTCTTAACTTTTTTTTATATCTGAAATCAAAAGACATGTTAATTTCAGTTATTGAAACACTGGGTTTTTTTCCCCACCCCATCTTTTTACACTTCTTTTCCGATTCATATGTGAAACTTTACTTAAAAATTAATTAGCGAGATATACATTCAGTTCAAATTGAGTTATGTATGAATGAGGAACTAGATACTCTCCTAAGTAAATACAACTATGATGTTGGTGGACCAGCTTCATATGCTTCTACCGAAAAACTGTATCATGTCGTAAATGCAGATGGGAAAAAAGTTGGTAGACATCAAATTAAACGGTGGTTGAATTCTTAAGATAATTACAGTTTACAAAAAACACCTCGTCGTTCTTTTAAAAGAATAAGAGTGTATACCACGAGGTTGAATAATTTATGGGACGCCGATTTAATTGATCTTAAACAATTTTCATAACGAACCCATTCTGACCGGACGTGTCTGCAAATTTGTACATCCCGCACAACCAAACGGACGCCCCACTTAAGCAAGGGTTTTACTGCCTGTCGGAGGAAGACCAATGGTGACCATACTTCTATTCCCCAGTCACCCTTGCGGGTTATATCCCTCACAAATACATAAAAAAAAAAAGGTTTTAACATGCAATAGATGATCAATGACAACTGTACAGAGCAACACGTAGGAGCACCAATTTCCGTCGTCGTTGGACAAAAAACGAAAACACGCAAGTTGATGAATCGGGAATACCATTTAAAGAAAGTAAAATGTAGTTACAATATTGAGGGTGAATTTGAAAACATTCCACCGGACTGCTAGATGAATATCTCATGTGATGTAGTGTGTAAAGAACAACTATTTCTTAATTCATTGACAAACATTTAAAACATTTTATTTTCATTTGTTGTATTAACTTAAGTTCACTCACGGAAACGAATGGTAAAAAAAATGATATCCCCGACAGGGAGAAGCAGGTAAGGTACTATTTAATCAGGTACGAAAAAAATATACTGCATATTATTATATATATATAATTTCTGAAAAATAATAATTTACAAATTAAGGGAAAGGGTCATCTCTGGATGACATGGAAACGACCGAAAAACCGCTACATTAATAAAAAAAAAACCATAAAATAATATATACGATGGAAAGATAAAGCAATGTCACCTTGAAACAAATTGAACAAGAAAATTTCGACGATGTTGGTGCATTATTTCTGCAGTATTGTTCACGTCCGAACTCGCCGGCATACTCATACAAATGTAATTGTTATTATTGTAAGTACGGTGTAAGAAGACTAAAACTGACAATAATATTTTTCTGTGTAATAAATGACAAAAGAATTCTGATGCCGGAAATGGCTAAAAAATTATTGACGTTACCTGTTTCAATTTATTGCATTAATACCACAAAAGATTATTCTTCAACAGGTATATTATATTATCAATAATATGAGTACGGTTTGAAAAAATCGAAAATGACAAAGTATTATCCGTATTTTGAACTAATGTAATGAGTACGGTTTCAGTAGACCTATTGTGACAAAAAAATTCTGATACCGGAAATGAATAAAAATTTATTGACGTTGTCTGTTTCAACTAATTGCAGTAATACCATCACTGTGATAGAATAATGTTGTACAGGTATATCTTGTTGATATTGGTTATTTTACTATTGTTATGTTGTGTCGCATGCTATGAAAATATAGTGTAATGGCAATCAAAATTGTGAATTGAATTTTAATATTTATAATGTAAGTACGATTCAATAAGATCAAAACTGACAAAAATATTTTCCGTATATTGAACTTAATGTAATGAAGAATGATTTTAGAGACCGATTGTTAAGTATACAGGTATATTACAACATTAAGAAGACTGACAGCGACAATAATATGTTATAGTATATAGAACATAAAGAAATTAGTACGGTTTTAGGAAAAAACCTTGCAACAAAAAATCTGATACCGGTAATTTCTAAAAAAAAATATTGACGCTATCTGCATTAAATAATGCATAGACAATGATTCAATACTGTTGTCATCGACAAAAAGGCTAGGATGAAATTGAAAAAAAGCAGGACAAGAGTTTTGAGTTAAAAAAGGCAGGATGACAATTTATGTATAAAAAAATCAGGATAAACTCACGAAAAAAAGGCAGGACCGAATAGAGTGAAAAATGAAAAGGCAGGACAGAGATTACAACTAAAAACAAATGTAGGACAAAATTTTGCATCTTAGCCCCCCATAAAATTCAAATGGTAGCTCCCTTAATAGTTGCAGCAACGTAAAAAAAAAAGCGTAAATGAATCCACTAATCGTCTGAACATATTCTGTCTGTGACATTTTGTACCCCCCGTTATATGTAAATCGGTTTGTAATAAATATCAAAGATACATTTATTCTAACTTCTCCTGAAAGGGTGATGATGCCACCCTACTAACCATTTCAATGTATCACTGAATTTATATCTAGGCATATATTGGTATAATGAAGGACAGAAAGTTACGGACAAAAAGTCCCAGGACAAAAATTACAATTCAGTTTTGAGATTATTTTTTATTTGAACAAGAACACACTAATTTTAAAATAAAGTTTTTGTTAATTTCTTGAACTATTATTTTGCAACTTCGTAATGAAAAACAGAATGTCAGAGTGGCTTGGTACTTTATTGGTTGCATTGTGCCAAGAAATATCTTTTCTGCATGGTTAAAATTTAACAATTTTTCATTTATCAAGGCTTATGAACAATTTCCGAAATTTAAAAGTGAAT